CAACAAGAAAATTAGACGCAGCGCACAGATCGAGGACCGGCAAGAAATTCGAAACCGGTCGTGGAGCTGCTTTGCACGCGTCGCGGTCGCGCGCGTACGGCTTCAGGATTCGCTGTAGGGCGCGTTTTTAGCAGCGTTCAACAATACTACACCTATGCCCCCCTCTGCCTGCTACTGCTTTATTGACGTTATGTATGTGCAAAATGTCATACAACACTTTGCAAACTTTGCATTCACTCCACTCCAAAACATGTCTGATTTGTTGTTGAGTGGGCGTTTCCATAGCGACAAATGGTAGGTGACGAGTTGGGGGCGGGGCCAGTAAGGTTCAGAATCATTTCCGAGACCCTTGACGAGCAGCTGACTGTGAAATGGACTTCATCATCTTCCCGTCACTATTCATCATGGTCCTCTTTTTGTCATGTGGGATCCTCTATCTACTAGCGTAATCGGTCATTATGCTATCGATTCGGGTACTGTACGTAGTCGCACACCTTGTCACTACCGTATCTGCCGAATGGGAGATACCTTTCAACATCAGGTGAGTTGTTATGATTCGTAACAGTAATTATGTTTGTATGGCCCAATAATTGGGTTGAAAGCTTGAGCCAGACTTTAAATAGCCTAGCCCACTAGGCGTAAAGGCTAAAAATTGCCTGGCCCTTTGTTTTTGATCCCCAACTCAGATACATGGCGTATACTGCCAACAGTGGAGGTTAGAAACAAAATCATTCACCAGGGCATGTTCTGCCGCTGAGGAAAATTTTGCAAAATGCGATCCCCCTCCAAAGTTCCTCCTCATGTTCGAGCTCCCCTCCCGTCCCCCATCCTACCTGCCATCTCCCTAGATTTCATGTTGTCTCAAACTACTTTTTGTCAGTTTTTGAACGAAAACCTTCCGTCTTGCAGGGGAAGGGCATCCAGGCACTTCGAACACTGGGGAATCCTCAGCTTGGGGGGGGGAGGGGTGTCGTATTTAGCCTGAGAAATGTTTTTGATAGATGACTTTTTTTTCATAAATCATCTACACACTGTCTATATCGTTCGGAGACCTTCAGCGTGAGAGGATCGCATTTGCTCGTCGCTGGGGGAGCTGTATATCCTCCCTCTCCTTGCACCCCTAGCTGGTGGTGCCAAAGAAGTCTGTACAACTGTTCTTTTTGATAGCATAATAGTTTTTTGGTGATGACCTCCAACCCACCCCCTTTCCTGCTCAGCGGCAGTGTTTGAGGGGAAACTGGAGAAATTTTCATGAACTGGGATAAAGGGTAGGTTGCAGGGAAGCAGAAGAGAGGAATTCACAGGGAGGAAGGTCGGAATTTTCTAAACTCCCGCCCGCAGTAAGTGCGTGGCGGTATATAGCGCATGTGAAACGGGGAAAATCCAGAAAACTCAACAACCGACAATTACTACTCCCCTCCCCCAGCAACCGAATACGACCCCCTCGCTGGGAATCCTCCATGTGCGGCGTGCCCCGTCTTCCACCCTTTTGATTGTGCATGTTTCAGCCAGCATTTCCTAAGAATAATCGGTGGCTATCCCACCTTCATTGAATCCTTTTATCCTCGTGTGGAAAACCTCACCGACGAAGACTTTGACTCTCTCCTGCCTCCTTCACAATCGTCTTCCTATAACAGGCAAGTTTTTCCTTCAGCAATTGATGACAAAATATCAGCGACGCTCATTCAGACAGCTCAATTGGACTTGTGACGTATTCCCAGGTGGCCGCAGTGAATGCACATCTGCGGTCACGGCGGACAGGTGTCGCGACGGCACGCAATTCGCCGTCGGGTTCTGGTCGGCTGCCAATCGTTCATGTGAGAAACAAGGACAATTGACACCGTGTGTGGACACGTAAGTGATAAAAATCCTTGATATCAGACTAACTGAAGGATAAAAGGTCTGCTGCCCTACTCTCACATCTGGCGCAGGTGTGCCATAATAACGATGCCTGTTAAAAGTTCGCAGATGACGGGGTCGGAACATGTTAGCGATGTGGCACCCTGTGTTGCACCCTGTCAATGACGTCATACACTCGTTGACGTGTTATGTGACGTCAGTGACGTGTCATCTATCTATTAAGTGAAGTACGTGACCTATGCTACATCTGCGCTTCACGTCTTATAGCTCCAGCTGTACTTCAAAGTACAGCGAACGAAGTAGAGTTTCAGCACTGCAGTTTCTTTTCTTCACAATAGGATCATTTATAGTGTCACTGCTTAACCTCACACCGCACATTGTTCTCTCCCTCCTCTCCCAGCGAAACGCTCTTCCAAGGATCCATTCCGTAGATACGTGATTGCAGAGCCTGCCCCTGTTGACATGGAAGAGCTCCGATGCTGTCGTTCCATGGTAAACCAACGGTCACGCAGAGATGAACGGTTTAATGTGTTCCGTCTGTGTAACGCCGCGTCTGGCGCCTCTTCCTTGCTCCCCTGTCTTCACATTGTTTCTGTCTCTTGCTTCCTGCCCAATACTGGAAATCAACTGAAACGAAGGGTGCCCTGCTAGGGACGTTTCTGACGGTTTTTTTTTCTCTACGGTACGGTCACTTAGAATCTATTTTTATTTGGACCATACACCCAAGGCTTCATTCAGAAACTCTCCAAACTGTCGAACCAGTTCTTATCATCGATTCTCTGTGGGGAGCGGGTTGGGGGAGAGGGGAGGGTCGTACTGAAACCACCAATGAAGAAAGGGAAAATGTCCACTTTTTGGCACTCTGAAAGCCAAATTTCAGGTAAAGCGGTAAGACGTTCAAGTATGCAAGGAGAAGCATTCCTTTTCCTGCACTATCACTCACCTCCCCTCCCCCCGCCCGACGATCTGTTCTCTCTTGGAGGTTGGGAGAGGAAAGGAAAGGAAGCACGGCATCAGGATCACAGAGGGGGGGGGGTGGCAGGAGAATCGGTGAGGAGGGACCACGATGAACAACGGAGGCCAATTCCCCACATCGCAATGACGCCAGCGGCTAAGAATAGCTCCAAGTTGGGCTATGAACTCCTGCATCAAATCACCAGAGAGTAATGAATTCCCTCGCAGCCAGTAATTGCGGAAGTCCAATTACGGACTCAAGGGAAAAAACGCTGAAGTATAGAAGTCACCAAATGAGCTGAGAGAACGACACTTGTGGGTTATTAGTAACACTCTGACAGACGGAACGGGAAGCGCCTAGTAGTTCTCTGAAACGGAAGGACTACGGCGTATCCTGGAGACCCTCATTGCCAGACATGGAAATTAGCCATTAAGAGTAATTCAGCGACACCACCGCATAATTAATTGAGCCTCTTCAGCGGTAACTGATCGGTTTCTCTTCGTGAGCCCTCTTGTGGCTCAGCAAGTTGGGGCCGTGATTAGATGGCGCAGGAGTGAGGCGCCTAACTTGTCGCCTTTCTATTACATGAAACTTAGCGGTAAAAACCTTGGAGAAAGCATTTAAAGGGCTTCGTATGCAAACTACAAACTTTATAATGGAGGGACCGTTTTATTGGCTGCGGTCTCTGCGGCGCGTCAGGTGGTCCGGATTTGGCGACGGGCCGACCCGTTCTCTATCTGAGGAGGCTGGCAAGCGACCACAACTTGTGGAAAACGAGCTCCAAACCGACCTCCCCCCTCCTTTCGCCCCGGAACGCCCTAGCGTCCGCAGCGAACAAGATTGTGGGCACTTTCGCCTGACCTCAGAAAGGAGGGGCTCCGTGGCTAGGTGAATCACTGTCATCTACGGTAGTTCTATTCTGATGAGGTTCATCCTAGTTTTGTAGGAGTTCTTCAAATGTCCCCTCCGAGCTTATTGGCGCTCGCGGTTCCAAGACTCTACCGAACAATAGGAAAATGGGGGTGCCTAGGCGCTACGCATACCAAAGGTGTGTGAACCTTGTCTGTGCCTGCTTGCCCTGTCCCGTTGGGCCATGGCTTTTCACAGCCTTGGAGAGGGTGTACAGGGGGGGGGGGGGGCATAAAAAAAAAGACTTTTTCTTCCTCGACTTTCGAGGCGCTATAACTACACTTTATTAAATTCTTATCGGACACTTCTACCACCATATTAAAGAGCATATTAAATACTATCATGATACTCCGCCACAGCCTTCTGGAGGAGCGCCATCGAGAGATTCTGCCACGCGACCGTCAGTGGGTGCGTGAGTTCAGCGAGATCGTTGATTTCTCCGCCACTGTAGACCACCCTATTTAACTCTCCGCCCGAGCCAAGTAATTGATGTGGTTTAGTTCAGGTTACCTGCTTAGATATTCCACCTTCCTCAGGTACTCAGCCCCCTTCCTTTCCAAGTAGGCGAGAGTTTCTCCAACGCCCTTCGATTCCACGTGGTGGCACCCAATGCTGTAGCAGTACAAAGTTTCCAGGAAGGTAGGGGCGGCGACATGTGGGGAGGATATTCTTCTTCAGACCGTTGCTCGAGTGTAACCGCCGAGCCGGCTCAACGCTTTAGGTCGGGGCTCACGACAGAGAGAGATATCGTCTCGGTCCATTCCGCAAGGTATGTCGCGGTCGCGCCACCATCAACTGGCGGCCTACTGGCGACGCTGAGGTGAAGATGATGTCATTGTTTTTTGTTTTTGTCCTGGACCGTAGCGACGTTGGCGGAGCTGCTTGATGTTAGGGGTCTTCCAGATCGATAGTACTGATCTCCAGGTAGCTATCCATGGGTGACTCCATACTAACCATACAAGAAGTTTCGCAGCAGCTGTTCGGAGGTGACATGAATTCCGAAGGTCTTCTCCAGTCAGGTTGCCGCTGGAGATGACTTCATATTTTGGTGTACATCAAGGTGATGGGCGAGCGCCAGCTCCTGCTTATAGAGGAACATCTTGGGTATCTTCCGCCCTGGTTACGCGCTGTCACCTCCCGTTCTCTGTCCTGGGCTGAGAGGCGAGAAACGTTTGCTGATATGTGACCTGGCGGTAGAAATGTCTTTTTTTTTTTGGCCGCCCCCCCTGTATACCCTGCCAGTTTTTCTCGGGAGGTACACGTACAAGAGCCAGAAATGAGCGTGGTAGCGGTAAAGTTGCGATGGTGACAGGGTGTGGCGGGTTTCTGCGTGCCCACCGCCCTCCACCGCCACGCGGTCGCCGATGATGCGCGTCGCGGGTGGAGCAGAGCGGCGGAAGGACCGGCGCCCTTCAAAGACCGTCAGAAACGCTCGGAATTAGGCCACGCCCCCGTGATGCGTTTTAGGTTTCAGAACTCTGGCGAGGCTGTGCTGCAAGAACGCCGGTTGTGGGAGGATTACAACGCGTGGCCTGTGGCGGGTCCGTCGCCGATTCGCTGTTCATTTTGTGCGGGTAAAGAGCTGTGACGAGGTAGAGTTTGGACGAGCTTCGACTAAGGGCATCGCGGTTGAGCTAAGAATACTACGCGTTCATGGTACCTCGGAGACTCCGATCGTTTCGGTCGCGCGGAAATTCCGAGCCGGTGCCATCGTGAAACCGACTGAAGCCGGCGCTCCACCGTCCGCACAATGCGGTGGACGGCGCTGCAAGTATAAAGTCCTGTACATACCGTGATTGAATTAGCAAGTGCAGCGACTCAGGGATTTGCAGTAAAGCGGGTCAGCTGCAGTCGCGCGACTGAATAGATCGAGTCGCGAAGTGTGAACGTTGCCAGCTACGTTGCATTTCTCTTCAGGTTCCTTCTACTGTTACGCAGAATTTTCACCCAATACCGTGGAGAAAACACGTCTTGCTACTACCCAGGTCTTCCTGTTCAAGGATACCAATACCCGCTGCGATTATTTCCATCAGGTAGCTTTTCAAAGTGCATCACAATCACTGCACTAAAAATTCCTATTTGCAGACGGTCGTTGTGGAAACCTGATCAAGTTCGGAGTCAATACAACTGTTCAGTGCCTAGTGGATAGATCGGCCTTTGTGGGTTGTTCGAACATTTTCGTCTTTTGAAAGTATTTTTACATACAATTTGGCTATTTTTCAGAGGGAAATCAATGGTTGCCCATCTGACGAAGAAGTGAAGGAGTTCCTTGTTTCAGACATCTCTCACGTATGTAACTGTGGCACCTGCAAGACACCCCTGCTGCGGTAAGTAGAACATATTGAGACACTGCTCGGCTTGGAGGGGGCATTCTGCACATCCGCTACTCCTTTTGCTAGTTCATGTTAATTAACAGGTCTCACTTGGTGGAACCTGTCATTTCTGTGAAAGTGCACAAGCTCAACTGACTCACTGCGGGCACAGAATTTACAGGCCTTTACAAGTTGGCCTGTACAAGCTTTATTGAGTCCCATTCGGTGCCACAAAGTCAAACTGCATCTTCACTGGTTTCCCCCGGACGGCAGTTGTGTTCCTCGGGTATTTCACTATTGAAAGGTTGTGAGGGATTCAAATAATCACTTCCATCCCAAGCGGACGCGAGGGGTGCGTAAGTAGACGCAAAGCGATGCAGCGCGAATCAAGGTGATCGCTACAGACTGGGGGGGGGTTTTGAAAAGGGAAGAACTTTCAGAACTGGTTAGCGGTGTAATCGGCAGAGCACTTCATGAAAAAAATCTTCCATACAATTGTCGCCTCTAAAACCTATAATCACCCACTCCCGAACCCATAGCAAACTCCACCACTATACTCGAACTTCTGTCGAGCGAAGGAGGACGGATAAATAGGAACCCTGCCAGAGTATGGGAAAGCCGCACCCTATCATCAAATTGCGACCCCATCATCGGAAGTCCTCGAAGATGATGTGTTCTGATGAATGATGGGGCAGTCATGCCGTATTATGCGTCTGGCAACAGCCTGTAGATACGAGGTTGGTAGGTGGAAACTTTATTATGGCCTGACGTTTCGACTAGATCGTCTTCATCAGAGGCCTAAACGTGGCTCATGGTTTGCAACTGCTCTCTCTACACCGCCAAAGATCTCCCCTTCCCTAACGTTTCTGACAGGCTATTGAGAAAACTACCCGGAAATCCCGAATGAGAGAAGAGACTCACCCAGTCCACCACAGCGAAAGCGAAATAACCGCTCCGCTACTGTGCCAATCTTGTATAGTGATTATAGTCACTATACAAGATTGGCACAGTAAGTCCCACTAGTTATACTAACAACTAACTGAGCCGCGCTTCCTGCGCCCTCTGGACTGCTCCTGTATTCACACCTGGCGCCTTGAAGATTAGGAGAAAGGGCGCCAAAAGGAAATGTGAGTATCTCCGACACAAGTGCACGGTACAAAATGTCCACATTTCGATATACCCCGACCCGTTTCGCCCCGTATGGTTGAATAAATGGACGTATCACATTGCTCGCGTAGTGATAAAGTTATGTGGATATGAGTTGTACGTATGACGCGCCCTGATTACATCACTCAATTCGGAAGGCTACAATTATCGCTCATATTACACGGCGTCTAGCCAATGATCGCTACTGCAAGCACGACTTAAGGTTAATGATCAGGGTACGGCATCGTTGTGTAATACACGTAGGGGTCGTACTTTTTCGCTGGGGAAGGGAGAGGGGTCTACTTGGTGGTTTGTTTGGGAAGGGGGGGGGGGGGGCGCGGTCGTATGTAGCTTTGAGAGAAATTTGCCGCAATGGGAACAAATTTTTCCCGGTTGTTGATTTTTGTGAGTTTTCGCGATTCATGTGTACTATATACCCCCTCCCCCCTCCCCCCTTTTCCCCTCCCGCTTGGGAGGGTACATCATCACTATCACTACTATATATAAACGGCAACGTCTGTTTGTTTGTCTGTTTGTCTGTCTGTCCGGAAATTCGGAATCACCTGAAGAACCAGTTGGAGGGGGCGGGTCAAGGGTGGGTTGGGTAGGGCATGGGTCAAGATGTACGGAACACACATGAACTGAGCTAAGCTCCGCCCACTGTGGGCGGGGCATGCGCACGTTTGTGAGCTACATAGTTCAAAAATTCGTAGTTCGGTTCTAGAAGATCCCGGAGAGCGGAAATTGTGGGAAAAGATAAGCAGTCAGTTGGCGGATGAAATGAGGGAGTCACACCCGTGATGGGCGGGGCGTGCTATAGGTGGGCGGTGCTCGCTACAGAACTTTCAAAAATTCGTAATTCGGTTCCAGAAGATCCCGGAGAGCGCAAATTGTGGGAACGATTGGCAAACAGTGTGGCGGAGCGGATGAAATGAAGCACAGACCCGCTGATGGTTTAGGGCGTTCCGCCGAACTTGAACGGTGCCGGGGCGATTCAAAAACGCCACTCAAACAGCCGAAAAATTTCCAGAACGGGAGTAAGTGAAACTGAGCAATGGTTGGGCAGATGAAGTTAGTTAGGAATAACCGTAGGGAGTATACCAAATATACCAAATGGTTGGTGCCATTTATTCTGCGCTTCCTCATCCGTGAAGGAATTGCGGTATAGAAAATTTTGCTGACTGTCTTCTAGGGGGGGGGGG